TAACAGATCTGTGAACAAAGAAAAGAATAAAGATTATAAAGATTATTTTGTGCGATTTGCATATTGAATTGTTAACTGCTTATAATGTGAAAAAGCTTTGTTCATGAAACTTTGTTTTTTATTTTTTTTAACTGCTTACCGTATTATTATTACTTTTTTATTTTCGGTTATTTCATAATCATAATTGAAAACCTTGACTTCGACCTTTATCGCGGAACGATAATAAAGAAATTCTCAAAAATACCAAATTTTATTTTTCGTTTAAGAACAGAACTGAAGGTTTTCTTATCAAAATGTAGAAAGCGTTCGTTCATCCTCTTCATTGCTACCATACTACCTGTTACTCCCTCAGATACCGCAAATTAAGTAAAATGAAAGACTCGAGAAATATTTTATACGACACCTCTCTCCTAGTAACAATTTTAATTATGAAACGCAATTTCAACAATATCTTGGATTCCCCCTCAATTTCTCGAATTAAACAAGATTCAATTTATCTTATAAAATTCTATATGGTTATTTTAAATTGGTTTCCAAATATTACAATTTTAGGTTAAATTTAAATCCAGCAGGAACTAATGGGCTAAAATTACCAAAACCTATAAGCGAAACTAAATTAAGGACTCATAACTTCTTAATTCATAATTCCTGCTATTACTACTGAGCGAGATAATTTATGTCCCCTTAGCTAAAAAAAGATTATAAAAAAGAAAAAAAAGATTACCATTTATGATGTTATTCAAATAGTTCACATCATACAAGAAGTTTGAAATTTTGATTTTCGATTCCATTTGATTATATATAAGAAATTGCTAGTAACTCCTCTTTATTTCCTTTTTATATAGTTAATTTTCGTCATATTCTTTCATATTTCTTTTTTTTCACTTGATATTTTATCTATTTTATTTATTTGTTATTAACACAAGCACATTGAATTCGCCACTTTGCTTGGTTAGTTTTCAATAAATAAATAAATAAATTTATTTTAAGAAAAAAAAGTTCAAATAGGAAAATTACAAGGAAAAATTTTGTTTTAACATTTATATAATGATTATATTTTTTTATCAGTTGATTTTTTTGCTATTTTGCTGTTTCTATTAAATTTTTTTTATCCCATTCATCTTTGTAAAAACAATTTATTTGTCCTTTAAGCTTCTCTTATTGTTTGTTTTTTATATCTTATTGGTAAATTTTAATGCAAGCATGATTTGGCGAGATTCTTGAAATATATTGAATGTAATGTAATAATGTAGAACATATTTTGGCAGTTTATTTTAGGTAAGGTCATTTGCCGTTTCTTATGATTTCTTGAGACCATGGCGTTTATACATATAGCGCTGGGTCATTCCATACTCTTCGATGTTTCTTTGTATACTTCTTTTTGTGAGTGTGTTTTAGTAAATTTTTGTGGCTTATTTTATTATTCCTAATGTTCTTATTATTATAGATCATTATTAATAAAATATATTTTGTTTGACTGGTGTGAATGCAATTGAATTATTTGTAAATTATTTGTAATTATTTATTATTATTTATTTATAATTATTTGTAATTTATAATTTATCTTTATCTTTTTAAAAAAATCTTAATCATTAGGCTTTTGTTGTTGTTTCTGAATCTTTATTTATAATCCATTGATAAATTTAGATTTGGCTAGATTCTGGAAATATATTGACAAATTTTTTGCAAATTTTTTAAATAAGATTCTGAAGATATAAGCGCCATAAAGCAACATTCATTATACCAGTATCAGTTAACATCAATGAAACCAAGAATATTTAATATAACGACAAAAATTTTCATCAACATAAGGAGAGGTAATGCCATGTATATTAATAATGCTGCACAATTAAAATCAAAATTTTTTGGATTATAATTGCAAAGTTATAAAATTAAGGTTCATAGTTGGCACTTAATGCTTAGATTAATCGATTCTTCGACGTAGCAAATCTTATCACGGTAGCGACGAGATTTGCTTGTCGAAAAGTTTGGTGGCAGAATATTTCGAAATGAAGAAAAAACGAAGAAAACGAAGAAGCTACAAATGAGTAATGGCAATCGAAGAAAAAAACGCTAGGCAAAATAAGCAATTAATTGACAATATTGCCACCACAGCGAACGCCAACTCACCGAAGAATATATCGATACGGAAGAGGAACAATTTTAGGCAAAGGGGAATTTTCGCGGAAAGTTTTGCCCAGAAAACAACTGCTGGTTGATCACCAATTATACAAGCAATGGATGCTGAATGCAGAAAGAATTCGATCCAAAAAAATTTGCAGTTATTCGAATTGCTTATTCATTTGGAGAAAAATTTTCCATTAATTGTAAATTTTTCTATTTATTTTAAATTTTTGTAATTCTGTAAATTTTTAAATTTTTGCAATTTCGAAATTTTATTTTAAATTTTTATTATTATTGTTGTTAAGATTGTTTGTCCATTTGCTATTTTTTTCGCCAGTGATTTATTAAATTTTTTCTTTTTCATTTTGTTTGGAATGAATTTTTTTTTGAAAGTTGTCGAAATCAGTGCAATACAAATTATCAAAAGTGATTCAGAAATTATATTTTCATAGATTCACATGTGAATTGCTGAGAATTAGTGCAAATGCTGCTGGCGAGAATTATGAAAAAGCTATGTGCTATTGTGGTTGAATTTTCGCAATTTTCCATTTTCCAATATTGCATCGCAAAAAATAAAAATAATTTTTAACTTGAAATGGAAACCATAAAAAATTTAATAATACAAAAAAGGATTTTTTGGTGATATTTAAAGGAATAAAAAAATACTTAGAAAAGTAATATGAAAGCAAAGCTAATTTTCCCTAATGGTACTTGAAAATTTTCTGAATTTCCAATCTAATATATTTTGTCGCATATTTTGTAATATCAAAACAATGCGAATACACTTAAATTTCTGAAGCACGAAAAATAAACCAACTTATTTTCGAGAAAAATTATTTTAGAAATTCCATTATACCCAAAAATTAATTCAAATTTTTTTGTCGCTTGGAACCAACCGAAATAATAATTTTAGGTTCCATAATCGTTTGATAAAAAATCCGCCAGTCTATAATTAGTTAATTTTTGTAACGGAAACTTATCGAAGGGAATATAAAAATGAAAATAAATTGATGAACTGGGAAATATTTTCGCTATGAATCTTTTCGGTGTTTCGTAATTTCTATTACAATTCATTAGCTCAGTTTTTTTGATTTTTATTCAATTTTAATTTAATTTTGCTTTAATTTCCATTATCGATACAAAGAGAGGAAATTTAATTTAAGTGATCTCGTTCGACAGCCAATTTAAGGTTTTTCGATTTAAATTATTTCTCCGAATGATAATTGGGAATTTGCAAATTCTTAGGGCTGATTGACTTGCATTTCTAAAATTCTTCGATGAAAACCGGTATTTTTTTCTAAGATTTACTCTTTTTTTGCCAATTAAAAGGGCTGAATTTTCGCATTTGAAACCATCAAAGCGGTTTGAAATTTCCAACCAGCAAATTCGCGAAATACTGGAATAATATTAGTTTTTACTATTGTAAATAAATAATATTGTTGTTATTATTTAGCTTTATTTTCTCTTATCGGCTATTATAGTAGAGAAATAGTATCATCAGCGTAGTAGCGTAGGTTATTGGTGTTTCTTGCCACAGTTTTCAGCCAAACCAAACCAGCTTCGCTTAATGCATGTTCTACGTAAAAGCTCAATAAATAAAGGGGGACTGAGCATCCTTTTCGCATCCCCGTGCCGGCTTGAAACCAGTCTATTTTGCCATAATCTGTCCTACTGTAGTTTCTAATCTGTATAAAAATTTTTAACATGGACAATGAAGTGTTTCCTCAGTGTTTTCTGAGTACAGCTTCTATGGCTTGAGATGATCAACCCAATCAAATCAAAGGTTCGTTCGCCTATAATCGAAGCGCTATTCTCTAGTTTATCCATGGTCGAGTGTATAGCAACGAGAATATATATGCCTTTTTCTAAAGTTTGCTTAATATCTGCTATTTCTTTCTCGATGTGGGGCACCAATCTGCTTTGGATCATCCTAAACAACATTTTGTTAGCACAAGAAATTAAGGAAATTCTCGAGTGAAATTAAAATAATGATACCGCTTAGTACATTCCAGTTTATTGGCTTCGCGGAGACTTAAAATGTTTATTTCTCATCAATAATCAATCTATGTCCAGTAATCTATTGAAATTCTCTTCCACAAATATTCGATTTTTCTGCATTTTTTTTCTTTTAAATGTTGGTTATTAGAAATCGTAGGGAAGTTTGAAGCTACAAGAAATGAAAATTTTGAAATTTTGATTCTTGGAACGAAGTTCGCTTTTGTAGAGTTTACTGTCTTTTCGATGATATGGCTAATAACTAAAATGGGGAGAGAGAGAGAAGAAAACGTGGGAAAAGCAAGGGGTTGAAGGATAACGAAGGAGCTAAGCTGGAATAGTAGAGGAGAAAGTGCGAATAGGAGAAATGGGATTGGCAAAAAAGAGGTTGTATTGAATAACTGTGGAAAAGGACTGAGAAACTATATGAAAGTGAATTGAACGGAAAAAGTGGGATAATCAGTGAAATATGAAAAAAGGAATAATATGAAAGAATGATGAGCGAGAATGGGCGAGAGAGGCATTAAAAACGTGAGAATCTAAAAATAATTATTTTTATTTAATTAATTTATAGTTGGTTATTATTTGTAATATTAATCTTTTCAGTGTTTTTTATTATTTTCATTTGTATTTCGTTTTAATTTACTATTATTTACTATTATTATTTATTACTGTTGTTGATTATTGTTACCTTGTTATTCTTATCATTTTATCACTAATTTTGTTTTTGGTTATCATTATTGATAATTACTGACACTAATTACCATCAGTCAATTTTTTAATTCTCTGAAAAATTCTGTTTCGTTGATTTTTTTTTTGGTTTGAACAAATAGATAATAAATAAATAAATAAATGAATTTTTTGTTTTTTCAGAATTCATTATGAATGAAAGTGAACGAAATATGCTTGGTTTATTGGAAAAAAATGATGGTGATGATGATACAATTAAAATGAATAATTTATTCGATGAAAATAAAAATGAAGAAAATACGGGCGAAGATAAAAGTTAGTCTTCTAAAATTAAAATATAATTAAAAATTAAATTATTAATGAATGTATTAATTTAAAAATTTTTAATGTTTTCAGATGATATAAAAATGGACGATAATGATGACGATGATGATGATGATGATGCCGATTTGAAAATAGATTTTCATACAAAAACTATATTTTGCATTGATTGTTTCCATGACAGATGGTTGGTAACCGGTGGAGAAGATAAACGTGCATTGCTTTATGATCTCGATATTTATGGTTAATTCTTTCATAATTTTTAAAAAAAACTGAGTAGTGAAAATACGGTTTTAGAATGCATAGCAAGATTGCCCATCACTTTATTTACTTCGATCATAATTTTTTTATGATAAAAAGTTGTCGTATGTGATCATATTTCATTTATTTTATAATTTATCTAAAATGTTGTAATCGTTTACTATTTTAACGCATAATGATTTTTCTCGTTTTTTGTTTATAGCATCTTTTCAGATATTGAACCGACATACTGTGTGACTGGTCATGTCGATTCAGTTATATTTGTCCGTTTTAATTCTTCAGGAATATTTCTTGCATCAGGGGATTTGTCTGGAAAAATTATACTTACGGATATTTGCCGGTTAAGTAATATTTGTGAAGTGAGTGAATTTTTAATACCATTATATCATTTTTATTATTATTTTTGCTACTTATTTTTATCAAAGAATTATCATTATACCAGTAATACGTTTAGATTAATGAATGCAGTAGACTGGATTGGCTTGAGTGGCATAATGAGGCGGATTTGCTTTTCGCAGGTGCTGGAAATGGTATAATTTGGGTGTTCTGCGTTAGTCACATCGGTGTTTCAACTGTCAAGGTTAGCAGTTTTAAAGTATTTTTCATATTTTATCGAATGTGATGGTGGAAAATTGTTAAGAATGTTGCTTTCAAAATCTGGTTTTGATTTATTTCACACGTTCAATTTCGATGATAGCAGTTACTACCTTACTATTCTTCGCAGTATTTTCAATTTATAGCTATAGGCACAGGTCTTTAAAAGAACAGGTTGGTATTGGATGCTTTTAGGAGATTATAACTGAGTTTCAGTTAAAATGGTAGAAACATATTTAAAGTCACATTTCTGAGATTGTGGCAAATCATGTGGTCATTTTTCTGGTCAAATTTTTTATTTAGAATTGAAAAAAATCTTTAACTAAAAATTTCCTCGAATTTCTTCTCTTAATAGCACTGAGTATTCCTGATTGGACTGGCTCCGCAATATAGCAATATTAGCCAGAGAACTTTTCAGAATTTTTAAGTGTTGTAAATATAGAAATGGCAGAAAAGGTTCCGAATTCTTTCATCTTGTTTAATTTTATTTTATATACACAGGTTTTTGCTGAGGGATCGGGAAGTTCTGGAAGCACTGGAAAAGTTTTGGGAGATGGCCACAGATTACTAGCTGCATTTTCTGATGGAACGATTCGTTTATGGTCATTATTAGATCAAAAATCTAGTGCTATTTCAATTGGCATACTGAGCAGTTGCGTTGATGCCCATAAGTTATTCCCGCTTGCTGCTATCGGTGGACGTGACGGAAAATGTGTTATTATTAACACTCTTAAAGACAAGATTGTGAGGCTTATTGAAGTTTCAGAAGTTGTTGGAAAGAATGAAAAAATTGGCGTAAGTTATATATTCATATAGATATTTATTTTTTAATAGATATTTATTTTTAAATGGCTTCAAATAGAGAATAGATAACGAACTATAGGCAAGCTGCAAAAGTCCAAGGCCATCCAGGCAATCCTTGCAATCGATAGGTATATTCTCATATATGGTGAAAATGGTGCATCGAGCAAAAAAAACCATTGATCTAAATATTTGCTAAAAAAAAATTTACAGAATTTTGATCTGGAAAGTGATGAAAGTAAATCAAATTCAGTGGAATGCGTTCGATTTTCTGATTTTAAAGACAAATGGTTGGCTATTGGTACCAGTGGCGGCATATTAATTATATATGATATCAATACAGGTTGCATTCGTCATAAATGTGATCATGGAGGCCAGGCTCTTATAGCATGTCGTTGGTTTTATACTACTGACGGCAATCGTTGTGTAATTACTGCTAGTTTAAATGGAGTTATACGTATTTGGGATGCAAAAACTGGCGAAAAAGCTTTTGTAAGTTTCATTGAAGTTCCATATCGGATTTAATTTTCTTTTACTTTTTTACCTTATGCTTACCTGTTGTCATTTCAAGTTTTTTTGCTTTTTTCCTTTTTTATTTTACTATTCAGTTAATGCACTTTATACGAAAGATTTTTTGCTTTTATCATTCTTATTATTTTATAACTACTTGGTTTTTGAGTTTTCGTATTTTTTGTATTATATGTTGCACATTATGCGTATCATTTTTAAGCCTTTCGATCTTTTGCCATCCAATTTATAAATATTCCCTTTTCCTTGCTATATTCTTCAGATATTTGTAGATTTCACAAAATTTTTTTGCAGTTTGTTTCAGTTATTTTAACATTATTGCAATTATTCATAAGGACGGATTTGTATTTGCCTGGTATGCTGCTTGATATCTCATTAAAATTTTTTTCCCCTGGTGCTACAATTCCTAACCAATTCATGCTCATTGTTCTCTATTTTCCCGGTAGTTTTTCAGCCTCTTCAACGATGAGAAATTTTTGAAGAGAATAGAAATACAAATAGGTTGCCAGGATTTTTTTGATGGCAGATTTATTGCTTACTGTTTTTGTAATTAAATCCGAACCTTGATGGTGATGATAACGGCTATTCAGATATTCTACCCATTTCTCTTTGTTATCTCCCAGTCATTTTCAAACTGCCTTTTATAATTTCGTAATTTGTAATTGTTTCAGCGCCAGATTTGATAAGGGAAAATGAAGGTGAATTGAGAGCTTGCAGTTGTGCTTTAGGAATTTCATAGCGAAACAGATAACTTGCGGGAGTTATGATAAAAAACACAATGAGGCCTTGTGGTTTTAAGACGATGCCTAAATTTTGGAAGTTTTGCATAAATGGAAGCAAATATTATAGTGTGTGTATAAGGCATAGTATGTTTTCAGCACTTGTGGAATGTAACAAACAAGAAAGGCCAGGTGTATATTAGATGATCGTAAGGAAGCCTCATAAAAATTATTTTCTTCATTAACATCTCTCACCTATAGTGATTAGGTTGGCTCCGCTGGCTACAAGGGTAAGATGTCTTTAAGCTGCTCGGTCCGATGCCATCACTAGTAATTAAAGCCATTCTTGTTTCCATCGTCTAATCCTTATAAGTCCATACATCGCTGGTTTTCTTATAATCAAAAATTTTAAAAATTAAGTGTTAGAGAATATATGGAGATATTATTACTGTTACATTTTGGCAGTAAAATGCGGCGTGGTTTAATGGAATGTTAAGGAGGAGTAAGGAAATTTTATATTGGTTACATTTTAGGACATGAAGAGGTACAACAAGTTTTTGAGAAAGTGATCAAATGATAGTATCTATAGGGTAGATATTGATAAATTTTCGATGTGGTTTAAGGAAGTTTATCATGGTTTAATGGAACATTAAGCGGACATAATGGAATATTTCAAAGGATGTTGAAGGGTGCAAGAAGCCTCGGAAGAGTTATTGCTGAGGTGCACTGGATCTGAAAGGTGATGAGGAGATATTTAAAGGAGATTAGAAATATAAAGTTTTTTGAAGAATTACTTTTGAATCTATGTTCATCTGTATTAATACTTTTATTATCAATTCCCAACTTTTGCTTTTGTTTATTTTATTCTTTATAGGAATTACATGGTGGTGGCGAAGAAATATTTGATATGGCTTTTTCTTTCTCCTCTCGTCGTATATTCACAGTTTCAATTAAGGGTTTTTTACGCATATATGATCTTCCATCTCAGGGTTAATATGATTCAGTTAGAAGACAGAATTGATGGCGAGAATTATAATAAAGTTTGTTATTTTTTAAATCATTTTTATTGCCAGTATCTTCACAAAATTTTAGTACTTATTTTTTCTGTTACTACATATTTTCCATATTTCTTGCATAATAACAAAGGTTTATTATTCATTTATTTAGGTTTATTTTTTTCAGTATTTCGTGGTTTCATGTTATAATTTTGCTTAACGGTTTAATGTATATAATGTGCAAGATTTCGTGAGCGAGCTTATGAAATTTACCTTTTTTTTAAATTTTTGTTGTATGTGCAGCATATATTTCTGTAAAATTTTAAATTTTAAGTTAAGTGGATTTTTTCGAAGATTTTTGAAGCTTTTATGAAAATTGTATTGATCCTTCTTTTTGTTTTCATCTTTTTTTCTATTAGCGATAAACCAAAGTTAAAATAATTTACGGGAAAAACCTTTTTTGTCTATAATTTTTATTATATTTTCTTTATTCTTTATTAATATGCATTTTTAAATTATCTATGATGAAAAGATCTTCGCTTTTCTTTTCCATTTATCGTACCATGTTAATTATTTTAAATAATTTAATTTTTTTCTAACAAAAAACTTTGCAGTTCGATATTTTCTTATTTATTCTACGAAATTCTCATTAATAATAAGTTTTATGCATCACCAAATATAAAATGAATTGCGCGATTGCAAAGTTGGCAAGTTGTCTGTCTGTAGTTTATGTGTTCTTATTTTTAATTTACTAATTAACTTTAATTTTGATTTCAATTGGATTTTTTTTCTTTAAACGTTTCGCAATTAGGTGTTTATTGAAAGTTCATTTATAATAGACATGTTGAAGGAAACGATGAATACAAATGAAAAGAAGGCGAAATTTACTTTACTTTTTATTTCTCACTTTTTGTTTTCCTTTGATATATGAATATTTATAATTTGAGAATAGGGAAATAGGTTTCTAATGGGGCATTTTCAGTTATATTCAATTTTACGGTAAAAAATTTTTTAAAACTTTAAAAAATTTTTTTACACTCTAGAATGGAAAATGAAACTAAATTTTGGAATGACAAAAAAAATGACTATGTTTATTTGATTTTAGCTGTAGAAGTTTTTTTTCATTTTTTCCCCTTATCAAATTTCTCATGGCTATAGTTAATGTAAAAATGAATTAATGGATGCGGGTTTTCTATTTTTCATCTTTTCGCAGAATATTCTGGTTGAACTTACTAGTTTAACTCACATTTTCAAAGCTATGATTTTTCTACTATTTTCTACTTTTTTATCGGTTTTGCCCAAGTTTTACTGCCACAATTTTGGTACTAATGCCTTAGAATAATTTAAGATTTCAGTTTCTCGGAATGTCAATATTTTCTATTCTAAGGTAGCAAGGTAGTTTTATGAAGGAACTAGAAAATGAAAGTGGGAATTGAGCGGGGTAGGAGTTCTAGTTTGATAAATCGTTGTAATGTATTTTCGTATCATAAAACAAAGAATTTTGGTATTTTGAATTGTACCAACAGTTTTTTTTTTGCTTTTTTTCTTATCATAGAAAATTGTACCAAGATTTTTTTTCTTGCTTTTACTGTTTGTTGTTACCCCTAATTTGTTGTACAATAAACAATTTTTACTAGGCTAATTGAATTTGTTTAGAGTTCGATTCTGGCTAATATTTTTATGAATATTTCAATATGAAAAATTCCTACTCATTTTTCGATAAGAATTATATAGTTCCACTGTTACGGACTTTTTTGGCTTTAAATTTTGAATTTTATTGTGAATGGTTGCCTGCGATTTGCACTATAGATGTTACGATGTAGAATAAATAGTTATAATATTTGGGTTAAAAAAATGGAATAAATGGAACTTTTGATAGTAACAATGTAAATTTGGCATTTCTGATATTTGCATTAAAAATCGGCGATTGTTAATGTTGAGTAAATATCAGTGGATTTCGAATATTTTTTTTAGAAATTTTATTGCTACGAAAACATACGTTAACAATAATAAACATTTATGGCCTATCAAATGTATCGGACCACAACGCTGGGCGATTGCCTCCAAAAAACGTTGGATGAATTTATTTTGGTGATTTTTACCTTTTTAAAAAGATTCTTTATTTTCTGAGTGTTTTGGGTCTGTTCTTGGAGCTGTTAATAACTATTTTGTTACCACTCAGTTTGGAGCGCCGATGCTGAGGTTCGATTCCCCGCAGGAGTAAACCTGTACAAAAATCAGGGTAATGCTGACGATTCACCTGTATTTCTGTCGCCAGAGACTCCCTGGCATATTTCCTAGTGCGACAAACCAGTGGAGCGAGTTTAACCAGTAATGGTGAGGACTCTTACAAAAAAAAATTTCGTTGCCACTTAGGCTGGCTACAAAGTTAAGGCATATTGAAGCATGTGCTTCAGAGTAACAGATTCTACTACATGCTCTACCAGCTAAGCCCATATGTCACTAGACTTCCGATAGGTTCTTTTGCTTTCATACCAATCCATATTGATCTGGCAATTTTCGCACCATTAGTTTTCACAAGGCTTAGCATATAACGAGTTGTATGTTATTATCTTGTGTGTTACTTTCTTTAATGGTTGACGAGAAGTATAATCTAACATGAGCAACTACATTTCACAATATAACGTAAATGGTTTTCAAGCGAAAAAAGTGCAGTCTTGTGCATTCTTTCTCTATTTAGCAAATATATAAGTTAGAAATGGCCAAAGGTAAATAGCTTCATGGTATTCTTCAATGTCACTGGCTGTGTAATTTGTATAAAAATGCGAAGAATTTTACTTTGATGTTGAATTCGTGGCGACCCTACTGAAATTTCGTGAGACGAAAGGAAGCAAGAAGCATTTTTAGCTGCTGCTATCTGAGCTGAAATTTTCTTGGCAATTTTTTATATATGCAAGATATTTAAAATCTAATGCCTTCTCCAAACTGTGATGAATTTGATAAAAGTATATTAGTTAAGTATATTAATTAATAATAATAAAAATATATTAGTTTCTGGGAAATTAAGCGATTTTATTAATTTAATGCCATATTTTATAGTTTTAAGCCTTTCACTTGAAAAAAAATTTATGGGAAATGTATCAATTCTTATCTATAATTAATGTCCTTTGGCAATAATGTAGTATTTGTCTTTAAAAGGATTTCATCGTATAATCCTAATTTTTTCTTCCTTTTTTTTGAATTGAATCACATATATATATATATATATATATATAATTTGCCGTTTTCTTTCAGGATGGCTTAATATCTCCCCAGTTGGCTCTTAAGGTGATGACTGCATTTGATAAAGCGATCAATAAAGCACTGCAATGTCGGGCGAAAAATAAAACTACATTTAAGGTTGTTTCTTAGTGGCATCTAAATCTTTTAATTTTCAGTTATACTGCTCCTATTTTTTAAGTTTACAATAAGTTTAATAAGTTGAATGAACCATTTCGCGTTGAACAGTTTTATAAATTTCCTTTTTATACCTTATAAGCTGTTATGTAAAAATATTATTCTATATTTTAGGCTGATAAACTATTAACGTATCGGTTTTGCGACAATGTTTGGACTTTTGTAATGGAAGGAGTAGAATTTCGTGATGCTACAAGGGCAATTGACGGTGTAATTGATCGTGTTAAGATTGTGGCTTGTGATGGAAGGGCATCTCAACAATCAAATGTACATTGAAAATTCTTGCTGCATATCTTTAGTCTATTCAAGATTATATGACATTACTGTTGTTTTTGAAAAGTTTATTAATAATAAGCGACTTAGCATTCCAGACGAAATATTGCTCATCATGATTTTATCGAATGAGGTTGGATGGCTTAAATTAGTCCCGTTTGCTCATTTAGCCTTAGAATAGAATTATTGCTTATGGTGAATTTTTGTTTATTGCATTTTTTGTTGTTTTGTTTCTGCAGAAATTTTGCATTAACAATTTTCCTTCTATTTGGATTTAATTCCTTTTGTTATTTAATTTCCACATATATTTTCCCAAAACATACGATATATATCGTCTTTTATCATGCCAATGTTCATATCCTTCTGTGTATTTAATTAGAAAAGCGGAAATGCTTTATATACAAGTATTGAGAATAGAACAATAATAGTAGTGAAATATAAATAATAATTGTTGTATTATACTATAATTGGATGTCGTGGACTATTCAATATTCTCGAGCGCTTGAGGCAATTGAATAGGATATTTAAGAATAAAGAATTAAACTCATGCATATCAAGTATATTAGGAAGAAATACCCGTTTTTTAAAATGTTCTCGTGTTGTGTTTCAAAAGACAAGCATTGAGACATGAAGAAGATAAGTATTGAGTGGCTTGTTTTACATATATTAGCGATATTGGTTATGGGCTCTTCAGTTTTTATCGAACAAATTCAAGTAATGAATGGAAAGGAATTTTTAAAAAAAGTGGATTTTCTGCTCGTAAATTTTGCTCGATGGGGAAAAGGGTTTTCATGAAATAATGAGGAGGAGGCAAATTATGAGATCAAAATTCGGCACATCCCGAAAAAAAATCTTTATATAATAATTAGTAGTAGTAGTAGTGGCACCGGAAATTTGGTTTAAATAAGTATTTATTATTTGTGGGGAGCGATCGTCCCTGAGATAATTAATTGAGCATTGAGCGATCGGCTTTTAAATCCTAATTTATGCTGTTGATAGTGTAGGTTCGCTCGCTGGTTTCTTCCATACTGCTTCATTTTGCCGCATTTTTTTCTGTTCCATTTCCATTGAGGCAGAAAATTTGAATTGAAGGCATCTTTACAATAACGTATCTGAATCGTCTGGTGATAGATCGTTTCGTAATGAAACGTGAGGTGCTGGAAATGCACTCGACCGGACTGGTTGCTTTAAGGAAACATGAGGTCGGACTGGTTGTGTGGAATCTGTCAAACCGGAGCTGATCGGATTCACTTCTGCGTCAGATGCGCTTTGACTCGGTAATCGTGAAATCCTTATTAAATCATCGCTTCCATTCGGTAACTAAATTCACTATTATCACAAGGAATTCCCAAGTTATAAATTGTTATGAAAGATAGGAATTTAGAGAGAAGAGCAACGGACAGGGACTTATGCAAATTATGAATCTCCTATTAAAAATTTTGAGTGCTGGCGATTTACCTATGCTTCTAGCCAGGTAACTCCTAGGCAAAAATTTTTAGACACAGCAACAGCCGGCGGTTAGTCTATAAACCACATATTTACACAATTTAGCGTCTATATATTCTTGGAATCAAGTAATCAATCATGCTTTTTCTTTTTCTAATGACATTCACTATTCTCGGGTATAATTTGTAGATTCCATTGATTATAAGTGAAAATGGCCAAAAAATCAAATGCAAACGATTTTTTCAAAAGCGCTTATCATTTCTGGATAAGTTCTGTGCCTTGGATCAGACAAATTTTATCAGGGAATCGGGAATAAAAATACCAATATCATCGGATTTTTTTGTAACTTCTTGAAGATAAGCCAACTTATTTAGCAAAATATATTATTTTTATTAATTATCTAATAACAAATATTATTTATGAAGAGTTCATATAAATTAAAAATAAATTCTAATATAAAACAAATTTTAGTTTCTTTTTTAATTATAGAGTGGAGAAAATCTTATTATTCTCCTTTATCCTCTACCATTTTATCAATTTCACCATCTATGGCCGCACGATGAACATTTTGCGTATTCCCAAAACCCTAGAAAACATTCCGTCGGCCAAAAAGCCGTTACCTTCAACGCCCTACCAAAAATTGCTTTAGCTTTTACTGTATAGTTAGTCAATCTCTTAGAATCCATTTACTCAATACCTTAAAACTTTATGTAAAGCTCAATCTAGTTATGCTCCCTTAACGCTTCATTAAACTTCGTAGACGCAATCACAAATTGAAAAATTGCAATGAGAAAATAGCAATAACAGGTGTTTAATGGAATAGTGTTATGTCAAAATGAAGGTGTAAAGGGTTTGTTGGCAACAAAATAAGCTTTGAGGAAAAGGCAGAATGCGGGCGGTAAACGCCACTCAGCTGCTCTATAAGAGATCTTTTCAAACATACATATATAAGGATTATATATATAGGGAAGAATGAAAGATACCCTAAGCGTTCGAGAAGCGACAGCATTTTGGGCTGACGGAGTCCAGTTTGAGGTATCATATTGCGCATTTGTCGAAACGTTTGAGACGTTTGCTCGCGTGCTATTTCGAAGAATCACATTTAAAATCTGCTCCAAATTCGAGTTGATCTTATTTTCCATTTTCTCCAGATGACTATAAAAAAATATTATTCCGGTGATATTAAAGCAGCAGATTTTTTTAGAGCATAAATCGACCACAGGGAAATTCACGAAAATTTTGATTTGGTTAAAAAATAAAAAATATTCAAATAACCATTCAATGTCGCTTAGTCGTTTTTCGAGTAATTGATAATTGGCGAATCCTTCATCGCGTGAATCTGCTTTAAAAAAAATTTTATAGCACAACTGATGGCAAATTGGCTCAATGGGCTGTTGCTTTCATTAGACTCTCGAATGAGCATTTTATTCCTAACAGGAATAAGCCCTTCCAAAAAAAGCGAGTGGTGCTACTAACTCAACGCTAAGTGAACAAAATTTTCCTGGCCCGACAAGACAGCGAAGCGAGCGAAACGAAAAATGGCGAGTGTTGTTAAATGTTAAACGGAATGAAAAATATAACTTTAAAAAATCTTCAAAAACTTGTAAATTAAAAGATAATTTGCTTCAAAAAAAAAATTCTACATATTTTTGGATTGCCAGCTCGAACATCATCTTCGAGGCATTCAGCATTTTTTCTTATCAAAGGCGTGCTTTCCAAATAGCGTAGATGACGCGAACCAACCACTGAACTCTCACCTAAATTTAATTTTCACTACGATTCTAGGAAAAACATAAAAGTTATAAAAGAACTAGAAAAATGGAATGGCTTACTTGTTGGCTCTGACCTTGTTGCAAAATCATTTCGCCTTTCGATTGATCCTAAATTTATTTAATAAATTTCTACCGCTTTTTTTCGCTTATCTTTTCTTACCCTCAGAGTTGCAGGTCTTACAATTAACTATCTCCGATTTTACTAGCTTATTAAAAATATCATAGAGTGCAAACCGCTATACGAAGTAAACAAATAGGCAGTGCGGAAAGACTTAGGTATGAAAGGATGGTAATGATGAGTCGATAATGAACTAGAATAACGGTACAGTTGATCAAAAGTATATTATTAGTATTATTGTCTAAGGTCCGCTCGTGAATTTCTTAATAACCGTAGCCTAATATATATATATATATATATATATATATATAAACCTTCGTAATGTAACGGTGAAATTTTATCCTTTGTTATTGATGATGACATCCGAAGTAGTTTGTGTCGATCCAATCGCTTTCTCGCTGACTGTGCCTCCTGAATCCATCAAAATAATTTTCGAAAGGATGGCAAGAAAAAGAATTATTTTAGTCCCCAATCGTAGTTCCTTGGTTAGCAACGATAATTATAATCACAATTCTTAATCACAAGAGAATCGCTAGATTCATAATCTTTTAATCAGAAATATGCAACATTTGTGGCTTTTCATGTTAGAAATCAATTATTTGTACTAATTTAATTAAGGAAAACTATGAAAAACATCAATAGTTTTATATACTTCCAAAAACGAAGCCAATTTTAATGATTACTAACATCTCGAAGATTATATGTAATAATCAAATTGCGACAAAAATTCTCGGCGAACTCTGGATAAATATCAAGAACATCAAGAAGGTCATCACGAAGTATTTTATGTAAATCGCAGTAGGTAAGTGCCCGAACATTACATGATGATTTGCCAACATCTTCGTTCAATAAGGGATTTTCACCAAAAATATCGTCTTTGCCTGAAATATAATTTTATCCCCAAGAAAATGATAAAATAAATATATTTTATTTCGTTACATTCAGTATTAGCTGTATTCTAAGCTTCTCATAATAGATATATGAAAATATTTTCTAATATTTAGTAAGAAAAACCCAAACATGAAGGATTAACACGTAGTTGAGTGAGGATGAGTGGGGAGATGGAGAAATATGGCGCAGTGGAGTGCTGTTTTTATTGCTGAAGCTTCTATCCCCTCCAGCAGTAAGTCTATCCCTAAAAATCTGGATAATGCAGGTAATTCACTTGTATCTCTACCGTCAAATGATTCCCTGGCAAAAAAGTCCAATGCCAAGCGGAGCGAGAAATCCTTTATGAAAAAAAACATGGAGGATTATAGGCTCTCTTTATCTCGTTGATAAGCAAAATTTTCGATAAGATATTAAGAAATAGCGAATGTTTATATAACAAATCAACAGGGGAAGAAAGTACAACTATAAGATATCTAAAGAAAAATAAAATAATAAAAAGAAAATGGGTTCATTAATTATAATTATAATTTTTATGAGGCCAATCTGCCGTTTTATGTGGAAAAAAAAATTTTCTCAGTAAATAAGGAAAATATTTAGCAAAGGAAGACAAAAACTTACCAAGAATACCCATAACCATATCGTCCTTGAGAATTTCAACAGAACCTCTAGCAATAAAAAAAAGGCCCGTAAGTACGTCACCCCTGTGAACGAGAGTATCGCCCGGAGGAGCATGAGTGGTACGAAACCTTCAATATTATTAAAAGTCATATTTTCTGCAGTTTTTTATTTCCTATACATGAGATTATCTCTATCCTTCATAGCTTTGTTATTTATCATCCTAAATCACGAAGTCATGTGGAACTTTTATTGAATTTTTGATGTCTTGCCTCATACTAAGTGCACGAAGGCATCCTGGTGTTGATCCAGCGAATGCCGGACAACTATTGAGCAAATTTCGATTCAAATGCAAGCAAATGTCGGCTTGAAGGCAATCTGGAAACCCTTTCAGAACCTGGAATTAAACAGATTAATTTGTCAATAACTTCAGTTCTCAAACTTTTTTTTTAAGTATATTCTTGTAAATTCATATTTTTTGAAATTTTTTTCCCTTTTTTATTCTTTGATCAATCTAAAATTTATTCTCTCAGCCTTACAAATCTAGAACTCTGAATTTTTTCGTGTCAGGTTTCTATTATTAAAAAAAAAACAATGCTAAATTTTAAAGTACTGTGACAACTTTTTAAAGAAAACTAAACCGTATTCATGTCGATCCCATTCGTATATGACCAAGCATGCTGGAAGTATTCTTCAAGACGTTGCCTCAGTGGGTTTGGGATTTGATGAAAACGAATGAATTCGCGTAATCTTGACATTTCAGTGTGATACCTAGCTGTACCACTATATAAGCGTTGTATTATTGCAGAAACATTACCAAATACTGAGGCGTACATAAGTGCTAAAAACATAAATCGGTTGCTAAAATATCGTTACGAATGAAGAAAAGAAAAAAATTAGCAAATTGTAAACAATTAACTATTCTATAGCACTTAACAAAAAATGGTCTATAAGAGGAAATTTATGAGAAAAATAAAACTTTTTTCTACTGAAATAAAAATTTTTGCAATTTAGGAATTGAATGATTGGATTAAAAACTTTAAAGAAGCAAGGGATATAATGAAAAAAGAGTGGAATGGCCCAATGCTGTCATTCAGGAGTTGCACTTCCGGTATGAGCAAATCTATCCTTCTAAAATGCGAGTGATTTATCTATACCTTTAATTCCGTCGCCAGCTGACTCCCTGGTAAAATTTATCCGATCCGACAAGTCAGTGAAGCAAGCCTAACCAATGCTACCGAGCGTTCTTAAAAACAAAGTACTGAAAACAAAGAAAACTAACATCCAAGTATCATCATAACAATAGTAAAAATTTTTTCAGAATCGGTAGTTGCCGAAACATTTCCGAACCCAATTGAAGTGATTGTTGAAAGCGTAAAATATAAAGAGGTTACATAACGTGATTTCAATGATGGACCACCTGTTGGTGTACTTCCATTTGTTGTCACATACGGCTCATTTAAATGCCGAGCTATAAGAAATGATTATATATGAAAATATGATTAAAAAATGCCCTACCATGTAATTTATTGTTGTTAATAGTGGGAAATCCAGCAAGAACTTTATGTTACAATGGGGTGGTGCGGTGCATTCGATTTCAGTGACAAATTTTATAGCTAATGATTAGGTGCTTTAGCGTTATATTTATGGTGAAGTTTTTAAGATTTTTGATTCTTCGGGTTAAATGGAATTACTGGAAATTTCTCGCCAGTTATTCATTATAAATTTACAAATTGAATATTGCTCATTTATTTTTATATAATAAATCCACTTGGCAACGACGTAGAATATTTTTATAAAGTTAATATTTATCAATTTTTAAAATATTTATTAATTTTTATAAAGTCCTTTCTATAATACGAAATTTAGCACATTCCCTCTTCTTAGAAAGCGTTAGAATCTCGAAAATCGTTATGCGTTATATATTTATTGCCAGCAAATAATATCATTTTTCAAGAAATTCTTAAACCAAACAATATTTTTTCTCGCTGTGTTTTATTCGCTTTGTTCGATATATTTTCATCGGAAATGAAAGCTAAGATGCCATAAATTCTATGAAAAAGACTGAATGGCTTAAAGGCATCATTTAACTAATGTAAAGAAATAAAGGCAATAAAAAGGAATTACCCAGCTGATGTAACCAAGTGAACTCTTTGTGGGGCAATTCAGCACTTCCAATCGCGTACCATATACAACCTAGCCAGTGTGCTATTAAAGCAAACGTTGCCATAAGCAACAACAAAACAGCGGCACCATATTCCGAATAGCGATCCAATTTACGTGCCACCCTTACTAAACGTAAAAGACGAGCTGTTTTTAATAGACCGATTAATGTCGTCGTCTGAAATTAATAATTTTTCCAAAATTTCCACCAAAACTCAATTAAAGGAATTTTTCAATTTCATTCTGTCAGAGGACACGAAACCACGAATAATATTTTATAAGATCAATTCGGATATCATAAATTCGGATTTCATAAATCGAAATCAATTTCGAGAAAATTTAACCATCTGCATTCCGTTTAATTTCAGTTTTATACAAATAGTTTTGCGCACTATTTACGGATTATGGATTTTTAAATTTTTTAAGTATTCATGAACTTATCATCGAACAAAAAACAATCGAAATTGCTCTATTTTTATTGTACGTTTTTGGCTAACATATGCTTTTAAATTGCTTCTATCAAATCGGCAAAATTATTTTCCTTATAATGGTGCTATTTTGAATAAAAATAATGATTTTCAATAAAGCAGTGTGCCTTACAAAACAAATGGCATTGAATGACCCGAATTTTTTTAATGATTTAATATTATTCACAAAAAATATTCATAAAAAAGAGTGTAATCACTTTGCAAAAATTTATTTTTTGTTTTTTTGATATTTAAAATAAATATTATTAAAAATATTTGTAATAAAAAAAGGAAAAAAAATATTATGTAACTCAACAGATAATCGAAACTGCAAAATATTCCAAGAAATCCTCCAAATTTTTAAAATTTTATGTTAATTTATTAATATTTATTCTATAATATAATATAATATTCAATTTTCTTAATATTTAATTCTTGAAATGAATAGAAAATACCTCATCGCTATTTGTATTGACAAGAAGTAAATCGAAAGGTACGGCGGCAATCATATCAATAATAAACCATCCTTTGAAATAATGTATTGCTATTTTACCTGGATGTGAGACTACCTAGAAATTTTCGTTTATCTGTTCCACCAATATGATTAAAAGCAGAATATATGATCAGCTTTTAATTAAAAATGGCAACACTTTTCGCATTTTGTTTTTCCAGAAACGAATTTTTCATATAGAAATTGAAAGAAATTTTTTTTTACCAGAATAAACTAAATTTTCGACAATGGAAAAATATGAATAATCTGGGGAACCAAATAATCAAATAAAGAAATAATTTGAAAATTCTGAAAATATTTATAGAAATTACTTAGTGGCTAAAAAAACGAAGAAATACCTTAAAAGCAAATTTCTGGGATTTCAGTGAACAGTTATTTTTTATTTCTAAATTTTCTAAATCCCATTATATGTTAAATTATATTTTTGAAAAAATTGCTATTAATTACAGACAATTTATTTGCCAATCATTTTAAATCATTTCAGATTATTTTTTTTAAATTAACGACTGATATATGGAAACGTTTAATATAGGAGGAAATAAAGAAAAATGAACTTAAAAAATGGTTTCTTGGTTTCTCAAGGCTTTCAACAACTATTCATTATAAATCATATGAAATAGATGGAATTATTATATATTGAAAAGTACCACTGGACTTAGCCTGAGTACTATTCAGTTCTAATGGCATTTAGATTTTCATTTTTTTGTTTTTTATGTTTTTTTAGCCTATTGCACGTTTGATTTCTGGTTAGGTCAGCTGATTAACCAACTTCAGACCCTCTAAAGAATCGTTTAGAGCAAAAATATAAATAATCTCAGCGTCAGCATGTTTTTAAAGAAATGAACCGCTGATAATAAAGATGGGCATAGAGAGAAACCGAACAAAGAAACAATAACAATTGATGAATAGAAACGAAATCAGTTTCGAATAATGCCGAAAAATTTCCAGCAGAAATTTTCAAAATCATCTTGCTTTCCACAACATTGTACACCATTTCAGATTTACGCAAATTATTCCACCGACAATTATAGTAAAATTCTTTTATGAAATGGTGAAGGTAAGGAATTCTCCACTAATCACTCGAATTTACTGATAAAATAAATATTCGAACAAAATGTGAAAAGGGATTTGTCCAAATATTTTTTGTAAAATGTTTTTCATTTCGTTCTTATGGAAAAAAACGAAAACTAAAAGGAAAGAATCAAACCTCGTCATTTTCGTTAACATAAGTAGTTCGAAAATTGATGATAATATCTACAATAAACATAATATCAACAATTAAATCAATAATTTCTAACGGCTCCGAGAAGCGTGCTTTACGAGTATTGTCCTGAAATTAAAAAATCAAGCAATCGTAGCAAAATCCTTCTAATAGCGCTTCTCTGCCAGTACAGATATATATTTCATTTTTTTTTAATGCAAACTTAGTGGTAGATTTTTAGGCAAATAATTGGGAAAATATCAAAAATCTTGAAGAAATTTTTTGCAGTTTTTTTCTCAGTTCTATTCTATTTTCATATGAATTTAAATTGTCATAAAACCAAATCTACTGAAATATTTAATCGCAAATGCCCAAGAAAGAGCAATAAATAGCATTGTGGCAGAAATGCTGAAATTATCATAAAAGGAATTTACCTCTCGAAGTAAGAAGGCGGCAACATAAGGCGTGAATATGGCAGTATAGATGACAAGGAGTAGTATAATCCAATCCCAGACAGCTTTAAACGGCGAATAATGAACGATTGTACAATGATGAATCCTTTAATCATCTCTTTACACAACAAAAAATTTATTATAATAAATTAATTTTTTGCTTTTTAAGAGTCCTCACCATTACTGGTCATAAATTCGCTCCACTGGCTTGTCGCATTAAGCAATATGCCAGGGAATCGCTTGGCGATAGAAACACAAATGAGCTGCCAGAATCACCCGGATTTTTATACAGGTTTACTCCTGCGAGGAATCGAACCTCAACATCGGCTCCCAATTGAGCAACAACCCATTCTATCCATAATAAATAAATTTTGTATATATATATGTGAATATGCAATTATTTGATTTATAATAAATAGCATTAAAACAAAAGGCTTGATAATCAGTGATTAAATTACTATATATTTGTTATAAAAATTAACTGAAGTTTCGATTAATGATACTCAAAATTTATTTAAATCATTTAATTAATAAAATATGTGAGTGATTATTGGTAAATTTTATGATAAAGAGAACGATTCAAAATTCAATATGCAAGTCAAATTGTCCTATAGAACTCCGCAGAAAATGACGAGTTATTTCCCGATAAGCGATCCCAGTGGGCAAAAATTTTGCAAAAAATCATACTTTATAATGCAGAAAATGCCTCTTAAAAAAACTCTTCGAAAATATTTTAAAAAATCTAAAAATGAACTATTAAATGAACTAATTAATAAAATGTGATTTTACAATATATTCAAACCAAAGTTGAAATGTAAATTCGATCGACAGATTTAGTATTAAAAACGACGACGCAATGAAGGAAAATTAATTTAGAAAGCAGAAACAAATTTTAAATAAATTTTTTTTGGAATTATTGACAAAATTCAATATATTAAAAATTTATGCTCAAAAGGATTATTTTAATAGTTTGAAAAATGAATATTTCATTTACCTAGTTGGTTGAAGCTTATATTCCGGTAGGACATCTGCTCCAAGCGATAGAACCTGAAATTTTATATATGCATTAAGCGTACTTTGAAAATATTCACAAAAGGTAAGATTTATAAGACATGCGTATGAACTTAAGTTTCAGAATATAAAGGGATGATTTGACATATCTACCTTTTGTTTTAATAATTTTAATTGTAAATTTTAATTCTCATGAATCAAATAATTATCACATTTTGACGACATAAATTATCAGTTATTCAGAAATTTATCACTGTTTTATAGATTTAGGTTATCTTTTCAGATTTTAGGACATGCAACTTTCGTCATTCGCCTTGTAGCGATAGATAAATTTTAATGATTAGAAATTTTACTGTTTTTCCAAGATTTTAAGCATTTAAGACATTACTGATGCATTTTATCTCTTATTTATTGTTGAATTCAGTGAAAAACTTTTTAATCATGGAACTGTAAAGGTTAAGAACATGCGCATTTCAGCTTACCTGAATAACACTGCTCGGCAATGTTAATGCAATATATCTGTTAACAAACGTGAAAATAAGTGAAAATAGACCGAAACAGGAAAAATTTAAAAAGAAAAAACTTAATATTTTGAAAAATAAAAAACCAACCACACAATAGAGAAAATTTGCTGGAAAAACTACTATAATTTGAAAATTGCAAAGCAACTTTTGGTATGGGAAAACCGATCATTTCAAATGGCTAACCAACTAGATGTGTAAATGTGAGAGAAATGTAAAAAGATGATTTTCTTTTTAAGAATACTAAAAATTTTAAGATTCAATTTCTTTTTTTGCATATCTTTGAATTTCCTTGAGCAACAATCAAGTTAGAAGAAAAAAAAGAATCTTCGAAAAGGGAAATTTTCATTAGAAAAGCTGATTTCAATTAATGAAATGAGAAATTTTGCCTTAAATAATTCATTAACATCTTTCAAAGTAAACGAGAAAATTTTAATTTCTGAATTTTCATCAAAAAAATTCATTTAAAAAATTTTAATAAAATTGCGAATCTTTACTACATTTGATTTATATTTTCTCGCATTATTTTTCGCAGTCTACAATTCAGTTTCGTACCATATACATAAGTAATTGTAATTTTAGCATATTTAATTCATATATATTCCCTAACAGTTCTTCTATGACTCGTAAACATGGCGAATTTCAAAGACAGAAAACTGCCATCGACCGATTAATCAGTTTATACCAAATTTTTTTCAGCTATCTTAAATTAGCTTAAATTCAGTTATCTCAACAATATAACGATTATTAATAATTTTAATTAATTTTATCATAAGAATACTATTTATTACCTATCCTTTCTTTTATCTTTGGAAACCAAGTTGGAATATTGGAATAATTTTGAGAAAAAGCGTCTTTTTCCGATTTGCTTATCACATTTCGTTCTCTATTTTTATGAAACATTTATGATTTTAGAAAATGCTGATTTGGAAACAAAAAATTTTCATCCGTCAAAAGCAATCAAATGCCAGAAAATCGGTAATTCGATAGAAAAGAAAAGCAATAAAAGTTTTTGTGGAAATTATCAGAAACTTCTCTTAGCGACTAACTGGCGCCATTACTGACCCCCATCAGCTTTTTCCAAGAAGGCTGTTTGCTTGTTAGCAAGCACGTCACCAACGATGGCAAATTTTCAAGCCTCTTAATTAAGTACTCATAACGCTCTAAAAGAAAAATCTCTCAAAAAGACTTGACTAATGTTCGATATTTATCAACAATATGCTTTCATCGATAATTAATTAAAATCACGATTTAAGAAAACAAACTCTGAGAAATTATATGAATTTTTTATACCAATTTGCGAGAAAAAAAGGATTAATGGATAAAAATTATATCGCCTGAAAATCTAATCACGTTTATTACAATAAATCATTCGCTTAAAAATTCATCATTTTACTCGCTAATCAATCAATTCATTCGAATTTTTTGATAAAGTTGACGAAAAAATTAAAAATAAATAGACAGACATCATCAATTTTATTTAAGAAACCATCTAAGAAACTAAATTTTTTTCCGAGTTTCTCTGAAAAAAAATTTCATGAAAATGGCTTTTAATTAAATTTTTTTTCAAAGAATTCAGTCATCAAAGGATTTGTAGAGAGCAAAGGGATCAGCACAATGCTTGAATGCCATTGTCATTAGATGAGATTAAAGGCATAAATTTGGTCACTCTCTTCTGAAACTGTAAAGTATAAAGGTTAAAGCTGAGATAAAATACGCTGTATGTTCGCCAAGACTCGAGTAAAATCTCTATTCTCAAGTGATTCTCTGATGAAAGTATAGTACCACAGCAGCCAAACGTAATAAATGAATAGCGACAAACACAGTTGACAAATAAATAAATATTAAGAAAAATAAAAAATTAAACAAAATTACCTTGCAATGTTTATCTGCGAGCCTTTAACGTTTTTAGTGAAATTAGTTGGTAAATCCATTTAAAAAATAAAATAGAATAGGCGTGAAGAAAGTGAAAAATAAAACTTTTCTAATGAAGAATCATCAATTCTGTAGTTTTATGAAATAAATTTTCAAAAAAACGCATTAATTTTAATTTTAATTTTAAACGCAAAATTTATATTTATGAAAACCCTCAATATTTGGAACCCTCAAAATGATTTTCATTTATTTGCAATTATACTCTTTTCGTTTTGAGTGGTTTGTCTTCATAAAGAGGGAAAATTATGAGCCGCAAAAAAACCAAATTGCTTTCGGAATTCAAAAATCGATTTAAAAAATCTTTCATAGGATAAATTTTTAAAAAAATCCTTTTTTATTGAATATTGACTATAAACTAATAGAGCAAATTTGTAAAATTCATGTAAAATGACGACAAATTTATGCAAAGTAAAATATTCAACAAAATATTCCTAAAAAACAAAATTTATAAATGCTTTTTAAAGCAAAAAATAATGTAATAAATTTTAAAACTTCACATTAAAGCTTTGATAATTAACACGATTTTGACGTTCAAAAAATTATATTAAGTAATTTGTGCTTGGAAGTATGGCTTAGAAAATTTTAGGCTTTGCAAGCCAACTCAAATTATTATTCCAAATTCTTTTTCATATAAATAATTTTCTGATTATTTCGAAATTATTGCTATTATAATGATTTAAATTTTCATTTGCAATTTTTGATAATAAAAATTAAAAGGTTAAAAGGCTAAAATTAAAAGGCTAAAAGGCTAAAAATTACAATTTATTTCATTCATTCATAACTTAAATTCTTTCCTAAGCTGGCTTTCATGCATTTTCGCTCATTTATTCAGTCATCACTGTTCAGTTAATATTCAGTTAATATTCATCGACATTATATTTAATCAATAAATAAATACACATTGCTATAAAACTGATCGATAAAAACTGATAAAAAAATTAAAATAATTATGGATTCATTTTTTTCCTAGCATTTAAGTAATTATGGGTGCATAGCACCATTAAATTTCGTAAAAGAACACCATTAAGAAGGAAAATCTTTGTGAAAAATAAGGCGATGAAATGGCCAATTTAGGCGACAGGTGTGAAAAAAAGTAACTAAGAAATATCCGAATCGCTTTTAACTAAGATTTATGAATTTTTTTCTTATCATACGCATATGGGCTTTCCGCATTATTGGACGATCCACAAAGATATCATTTTCTAACAAATCTTCGAGCTGATAGTGATGACATTTTTTTGTTTTGAATCATTCTTTATTTTTTCCATGCGACTAATAAATATATCAAAATTTAATAAAGGCAAAGAGTTGAAACCTATACTTCGAAAAATTGCAGCGAATTTAGATTAGTGATTGAATATCGTTATATTAAGAAAGCACCAATATTAATTTCGTATCAGATTTTCCAAAAAAAAACTACTTCTTTGTAGTTTAAAACAGCTTATTTTTAATGTATTAGACATAAAATGTACGAATACCTTGACTAATAATAATGCAACAGAAATATATTTTCTATTCTCCAATATCCACAAATGGATTAGAAGATTTTAGAAGATATTAAAAGATGACTTATGGAAATCAAAGAAATCAGCGCTCGCTTACTGTATTTATATGATGTATAATGAAAATATTATATACAGTGGTAACTCACAGTAGAAAGTGGCATAAAATCAGAAGAAAATGTCGGAATAGCCATAGAAACTCGTCGCATGATGACACTCGCTCGCTTGGCGACATTTTGAATTCTTTGATTGGAGACAGCTTTGTAAAAGCCAGCACCGTAGGAATCATTTGGCTTTGCTTCTTGACGATTTTCCATTTTATGCAGCTAAGTACAACTGATAATAAGGAAAGTTAAGAAAGAATCGATTAATTAAATACTAATCTACCTTATTTCTATATCGATTTTGGTTTTTAATTGTGCGATTTAATAAAGGAGCAAACAGAATTTTTTATTGCCTAGGGATGGCCAAACAGTTGTCGATTTTAAGCATCCCTTCGTAAATCTTCGAACGATAAATGAATCGAAAAAAGCTTTTCATATTAATAGAATCATTATCAGTCAACTGCTAACCATTTTTTCATCACTAATTGATAATATTTCAGTTTCTGAATTATTTGATGAAGAAGTTGTGCTCGTTATTTCGATGATCGGTATATTATGCGATAACATTGCAGCAAATAAATGCCGAAATATTTTCAGTTTTTTGGCAAATTCATTGTCGTATTATATAGTGCAAATTGTCAATAAATAAATAAACAAATATGGCTCATGCGTGATCTCAGTCGATTATAAAGTTGAACGTTGGACGTTGGCGTTGACCATTAGGAAAATCTGACGCCGAAATGAAATTGAAAAAACGAAGTCGAAGCCATCCTGAACGACACAAAGCCTTTCTATTTGCGAAAAAGCGTTCTAAATCGGGTGAGCAAATAGTAATTATCGGTTTAGGGGAACACTTTTGGGCGAAAGGGCGAATGAGATAGTTGAAGAAACCAGCAGTTCTTTTTATTTCACACCAATTATTCCATTCTTTGAATTAATCCAACTAAAAGCTGTCGCATTTATATCGACGTCGACGGATTCGATCAAAACCA